TTGGCAGCTGATGCTTCAACACTACCGTTTCAGTGACACAAACCGTCATCAACCTCATTCAACAGCTATATGACGACGCCACATGTTAAGTGATCCACAATGGAAAGCACAGTGGCGCCTTCAAGGTGAAATGAAGACAGGAGTAAGACAACATTGCAGCCTACTATTACCCATCATCTTCCTCATTGTGGTCAACTGGACTGGATCTTGCAACAAACCGTGAGAAGTGAGAAGAGGGGTATACACTGGCTGGACCGATGAATTTACACCAGAAAAAGATTTGGATTTCACCAACGATAATGGTTTATGTCTAATGTCTTGTAGCACAAACTCGAAGATCTACAGGCGAAAACCAATAAGTTGGCAGAAGAGGCGAGGCACGGTAGCGAAGACGGGACTTCAGGTGAATGCAGAGAAGATAGAGGTGATGAAGATACCCAACCAATAACATCAACAACAACAAGCATTAATCACGATGAACGGGAGAAACCTATAAGAAGTAGACTCTTTCACCTACCACCTACCCAGACAGCATCGTTTCAACTACAGGCACAGATGAGGACGTCAAAGCTAGCATCGAAAAGACAGTAAGACAGGCCTTCTTGTATTAATCTGAAATAAACAGTGTGCAGATCTACTGCACCACCTTGCACTCCACTCCACTCAGCATAAAGCGTGAACAACATCCGGATTTTCAACACCAATATCAAGTCAGTGCTGCTATATGGTTCAGAAACTTGGTGCGTCGCGAAAAGCACTTCCAACAAACTACAGGCATTCATCAACAGTGCCACCTACGCTCACTCGATACTGAAGATGGAGATCATATGGCGAGAAAGAATAAGCAACAAGGAAGTCAATCTGGGAACGAACTAACAAGGCAAGAACCTATCAGCCAACAAATATGCAGAGAAAGGAAGTGGAGATGGATTGGATTGGGAATACACTGAGAAGGTCGACTGTGGACATCACGCGTGAGGCCATGCCAGGCCAGGCCAGGCCAGGTGGTCGAGTGGAATGCGAAGGGGAAACGACGAGTTGGGCGTCCGAGGCGAGAATGACATGGAGGAGATGGTGTGAGGAAGAAATGAGAGCTTCTGGGCAGTAGTGGAGCCAGGTTTGAGAGACTAGAGAACAGAGTGTAATGGAGGCGTGCTACTGAAGCCCTATGTTCCACTAGGGACCCAAGGGGAAAATAATCAATAATAATAATGGTTTGCTGAACAGTACATGCGATATGTCTTCAAACACCTAATTACTGTACAAAACACCAAAATACAAAATCCAATTAGCTACAAATTGCAACGAAACTTTATAATAATATTCCGCATCAGACTGATGTCATTCACGAAGTCTAGAAAACCACATCAAAGTGATGGATAGGTATTTGTATCAATAAGATTCGAAACAGCTGCAGCCGATAAGTGAAAACGACACCTTAATAGTCGACGTTGATTATCTATGCACAGAATCAAGTTCCAATTTTCATTTGTGCTTAGAAACGTCCCAAACATTTATTATTATTTGTCCCTTGGGTTCCTAGTGGGATGAATGTCTATAGTTTCTTGGAAGTGCTTTTCGTATTGCACCAAGTTTCTGAACCATATAGGAGCACTGACTTGACGTTGGTGTTGAAAAACCGGATCTAGTTCTTTATGCTGAATGCAGAAGATCTCCACACTGGTTTCAGATTAATGAACGCCTGTCTTGCTTTTCCGATCCTGGCTGGCTTTGACGTCTTCGTCTGTGCCACCACCTGTAGTTGAAATCATGCTGCCTAAGTAGGTGTAGGTGAAAGAGGCTACTTCCTTTCAGTTCCTTCCATTGATGATGATTGGGGCTTGTTGTTGTTGGTTGGGTATCTTCATCACTACTCTCTTCTCTATATTCACTTGAAGTCCCGTCTTCGCTGGCTCTTCTGTCAACTTGTTGGATTTTGCCTGTAGATCTTCGAGTTTGTGTGACATTAGACACAAGTCATCGGCGAAATCCAAATCTTCTGGGGTCTTTTCCCTGGTCCAGCTAGCGTATCCCCCTCTTCTCGCCCCTCACTGTTTGCTGCATGATCCGGTCGACCACAATCAGGAATATCATGGGTGATAGTAGACCCTAAACATTTACTTGCTGCAATAATATCCTATCGGATTTATCTTCATACAACTTGAGTACAAGCTTCGAGTGGAACAAGGATGATTCTGACTCGCCAACACACTGTGGTGGAAGTACCCGTTTAAATTATTTTAAGGTACTTTGGAAAATCTTGTCCATAGGTGACTATTCACCTTCTTTGGTTTATGACGAAATTTCACCTTGTTTAAGCGATTCATAATCCATGGTAATGACAGTAAACTTGTGTTATGCATTTGCAAACTCGCAGACCGATTGTTTTTGGAAGCTGAAAGGTTCAGACCACAAAGTGAGACCTGCTTGCACCGATAATGGTGTCAATAATACAAACAGAAAAGATGACGTAACAGTTCGTGGTAATTAGTAGCGTTTGTTAGACAGGTCAAAATGAATAAAGAAACACTATTTCACTTGTTTGAAGCCCAGATCCTCATTGTTACACTGAAACTACTTCACTTTAGCATTTGGGATTGTAGTATACATCACAGAAACGTGAGAGTTAGAAAAAAGATACCGATTTTATCTCAGTAGATATTTTTGACCGACTCACTTTCCAAGGCTTTTCTCTCACATGATCTGACACTTCATAAAACTCAATCAGCCAACATTAAAATTGGACCTGGTATTCATGCTTAATGCTTCACACTGAATCAGCACTGCAACATACAATGCAACAAGACGAGATACAAAGGGATGTTAATAATATTGACGACGCCATTAGATAAAAGGCAAACAAAGGGTAGCTGGAGGTCAGTTGAAATATTCCTCGAAGCTTTTTGCCCATCAAATCACATGCGATACAACCCATACCCATATTTCTTCTCTGTAGTTTCACTGACCATTGAAGTATTGATTGTAGCTCTATTTATCAGTCTAAATAACTGTCTACTACTCATGGTCATTGTGTAGCCTTTAAGTCACTCTAGATTTGAGCAGCTTTCGCTCCTCATTGTCTGCAGGAGTACACTCATGTGCATCCATTAATTGAGATGAAACTGCTGACATCAATCGACTCTTTTGAACATCATTCTTAGAGTGTTATAATTTTCTCTGTTTTTGAAGTAGACTGGAGATTGTGTTAGGTTTCTTCAAGATGAGTCAAGTTTTTGTGTTCCAATAACCGTTTAGCCAGTCCTTAGTTAAAAAAAGACTCATTATAAGTTTGGCTTGAAAGGTTTCTAGTTTTAGTTGCTTTTCGTCAACTCAGGCGTAGACATGTGTGCTCGAAACAATGTGTGACCTGTGTTTAGACGCCTGCTTCAGAAGGAGTATGAATCTTTCACCCACACCATCCAGTAATAACTAACAACAGTATGGTTAATCTGTGGCCACCGTTGAGTCGGACTCAGTAAACACCACACTAGACACTGTGTCACTTATGTTTGAAGCTCGTGCTGACTAGAAATGGATGGTTGGCTCAGCACAGTTGTAGCGGTCAATAGCCGTTATCTGTTTGTTTGGCTGAGATTCCCAGAGTTCTGTTGTGTCCCGTCAATCCTCCTTACTTGTGTGCAATGAAGGCTCCACTCTACAACGAAGACATCTGAACGTTTAGTAGGAGGTTGGATAGTTTCCCATAAAATTCATCTTTCATTTCATCCGAATTTCAGTCAGTAAGTGCATAAGGGGAGAAACTGAAAAACAAAACGACCAGTTTCATTGCTCTTTTCAGTCCTCATTGCACCGTTCCAGTGGAAAAACGTGCAGACGACTGTCAAATAGGATCTAGTCAGGAAATGAACCTTTCTGCTTTGGGTCTTAGTGTCATATTCACATCTGGAAGACCACGAAAACTAGCCACAGAATCTCCAGAAATCTGAAGGGTGAATTTAGCAGATCTATGGGATTCTTAAGTGAGGCCAAATGAACAATGACATTTGCGTCCAGTGCGTCTCAAATACAGCACACATCCAAGGTTCAAGATTCTAGGGTTGACTAGCGAAGGTTGGTGTTCGGTTTGACGAAGGGTGTAGACATTCATAACTGCAATATCCAGTTTGATGAGTAGCTTCAGGGGACGAGGGATAGAAAAGGAGTTAAAGATAATACTGAATAAATAACACACTTTTTTCTCAAGAAAGATTAGAAGGTAACGATGTGAAGGGTTGATGGTGAGCAAAAGAAAGTACTTGGTGCCAGTTCCATTAACTTAACAAACCCTCTAAAAACAAGTGTTACAATTATTGTGGTGTATTTTCCATACGAACCCCAGTATGAAGAAAACTAAGTCTATGTACATCTGGATATTTGATGTCAATCAAAAAGAGGCTACTACGAGTTTAAGAGTGAATAATACGCATAACTACTGTACGACTAACTCTCAAGTCTACGATCTTATCAACTCTTTTTTTATGAATACAGCTTAGAATTGATATCAGAAGGAATTAAGTGATTTCGGGAAGTGTCATACATGACGTGTCATTTAATTTTAAGTTACATACATGAAACATTTGTCTTCCTCATCAGTAGTATAGAGACGAACCGTTATACAATAATACCCATTATACTGCTCACGTTATGCTAGTTCATCTATCGAGAGTTGATAACTTTGAGTTTAAAATTCCGATTTAACATGACTCAACAGTACCTCGCTGACTTCTGAAAACAACAGAGCACTAAGATTTATCAAACTACCGATAATGAACCCCAACTACCTTAAACAATGAGAATTTGTGGGGCTGGATGTTGAATGTCTCTAATAAAACATGATACGAAATAACCCTTGCCCATCCCACTAAAACTCTTTGCATATCTTATTGAGACAAATGATCCTTATCCATGTAGAATGCTGAATATACTATTTTTTTAAAGACGTACTGAACTACTGTTGGCGGGACGTTACGCAATATGTAACCTCTGAAAAAAAAAGCTATAGAATGAGCCTGTATTTGAAAAACGGAATACAGTGCAAGGGAAGTGCATGTGCGTAAGTGAAATGCTTAGATACAGTGAAAAAGTGAAAATATTGATTTAGAACTGGAAAAAACAGATAAAACTACTACAATCGTTCATAGTACAGCGTTTGTTTACAAATTTAATGAATCATCAACACTAAGCGTCAAAAAGTTGGAATATTTTCGTTTAATTAAGCCGGGTTCACTTCACACTACTGAAAATATTAACAAGTAGTATAGTTTGTCTGAGATAAATAAACGAATAGTGGAAAAAACCTACGAATAAAACTCTTCGGTATCGCAATTCTCACGCACAAAAAAGACGAAGACATGCATATTCAATTAATACTAATAGGTTTTTCACTTGCGCACAAAAAGCATTTGGAATAGAGTCATGGGTACAGCAAAGTGCACGAATATTTTTTTTCATCAATACAAAAACAGTTCAGGGAAGTGAAATTATGAAATGGTGAACGTAGTATATAATATATAACACAAAAATTAACGGAACCTTAGTCCATAAAATTAAGACTATCAAGATCCTCAAATACAAATGAGAAGACAAAAGGCATAGGAAAAATAGGGAGATTTGTTTTTTTTTTAATTTTTTTTATTTATTTTATAAACTGATTATTATAGTAACACTGATAACAAAAACAAACGCATAGTGTATCGCTAACGCCATGCAGCATAATGAGAAGCGGTAAGGGGGAAAAGAGGGAAGAGAAACAGATTTAACAGAATTGTTAATTACTATTAAATGTGATTGAGAGAAATCCCATGGATTCATCCGGTTTACTAGAAAAGAGAAAGTAAAGTTAAAGATCAATTTTTCAGAATATAAATTCTATTTGTAGGAAAAGTTACTATGTTATTCCAAATTATTTCTTAAAGAGTAAAGTATACTCCTTCAAGAAAACTAAACCCTTTTAAAAACCATAAAAAAAAGTTTCTCAAAATATATTTACAGGTAAAATGATGAACTCATGGAATATTTGTTAATCATAGTTCATCTCATAGACTTCAATGAGAAGTTTACTCATTATATAACATAATTAGATGTATAGTACAATTTAAATGGACTGAATTAACCACTCTCTATCGGCATATAGGTTCTTTTGATCGCTCTCAGATTCGAAACATAGTGGGAAAACAATACTCACTAGGAAGGAGGTGCATACACCTGACGGGTCGAGAATATGACGAAACGTGCATCCTGGATTTCACTAGCGGCCACTATCCAGTGTTATGTGAGGGTTTACAATACTACCTGGTCACATAAACCGAGATAGGTGGAACAGATATTAAATGTAATGGTATGTAAACAACAACATTTTCTCGGATAATACAAAATCCAACAATAGATTGGTGATTTTAATCCTCATGTTATCAAGCTATAGTGCTCATAAATAAACTGAAATCAATGATGTACTTGTCGAAAACTGTAATTGTGCTTCGGTTTACCTGAGTATATCTACACCTAATTAGCAGAAAAAAGAAACTGAGTCAAGAATGAATGAATGACATCCACTCAATAACCTTATGCACGTTCGTGCAATAAGCAATAAACTAAACCAATTGTATGAGGGCTGACGATACTACCTGGCTGCTAAAACCTTGAAAGCTGGGGAGCGGTGTTCGAAACTATGATTCACTAGTTGAAAGTCAACTCTTTAAGTTAATGAGTCACAATTCCACAAGAAACCACTCAATGATTAGTTTGATGATGATACCGAAGACATGATAGGTATAAATTCAAATGTCAACTGGTAGTACTCATTCAAAGGTAACTAGACAACTTAACATAGGAATAACTAGATAACCATTCTATGATGTATCATCAACAACGTCATTTCATCAGATCCTCTTAGTTTTTAACTTGTAAATCTTGACAAGATATATGGGCAAGATGTAGGAAATAGGTATCATCTCTTCATTGACTAAGTTTTGTGCATTGATCACTCTCATAACTTAAACACTTATTCTAGCATCTTATACCCGATAGCCAACTAGTATCACTACTCTAAAACAATATACCCAAGGAAAACTACTTAGATTTAGGTCAAAGGCATAGTACATTATGATAAGAAAGTGAAAATTTCAAAAATAAGACTATCCCAAAAGAGAAAAACCATTGAAATATAAATGACCTGTATAAGTTCCGATTCACAATTTGATATGATTTGTTTTTCATCATCCCCAGAGATTCCATTACTTGTTAAAATTGAATTTTGATTGGTTAAACTTGGTTCGGTTGACTTTTTAGATTTGTCTGTAACAATAGTAGAGGTGGCTGTAGTCGGACAATCCGATTTCAAAGTAAATGGAGTATTATCCGTAACAGGTGTAGTACTTCCATTAGGTAAACATTTCTCATTCATTAAGTTGTCTGACAAAACGAATGAGGTATTATTTCCATTTACTTTATCGTCTGTTTGATCTGATTTCTTGGGGAATGGTGAATTGATTGGAGCAGGAGAATGGGGACGTTTACGACTATGAACAGGACCATTAGGGAGTGGGAAATTCAGAGTCAAGGATAGATCTAATGTTTGTAATATAATACCTTTACGTGAAGCCATTGCGTCGACCACATCGTTTAAGCGTAAAGTTTTCCTTGAACGAGTCAACAAAAGGGATGGATCAGGTAGTTGTGCTATTATCGGTTGAGCTACAATACGAAAGTAAAGATGTAAAAAGTTAATGATAGTTAAATATGATTATCGATTGAACTTAGTTTTACGGTTTAAAGTAAACTGCTATGGCATAGCGATACTGCTGACGACAATAATAATAATAATAATAATAAATGTACACCAATCTTTGAAAAGAACCAGAGTAGGAATTAAACAAGAATACTTATTCAGTTTTATCCTGTTTAGTTGTCTTCTTCTGAAATACGTAAAGTTAAGTAACTTCTAATGAGCTTTATTATCCAACACTTAATTAGAGTTACCACATACCCCTTAACCGCATAGCATATCATTGGACATAGATAGTCATGAAGTCAACTAAAATCGACTAAAGACTTCAACTACTCATAAGTAGGTAAACGAAAAAACATGAGTTATGCAACAAGTCCAACCGAAAATTCACCATGTAGACAATCTCATCACTAACTTTCCCGATTTCTTTCTTACAGTAAGAAATCACAAGACTAACAGTTGTGATATCAAATGCATAAAGATAAAAATAAACAAATCGTCAGCAATAAAGATGAGGTTGATAAATAACAACCATGTTATCAGCTTGACGAAAAGGCAATATAAAAGTAAATCGTTATTCCTTGACAAAAAAGTAATCATATAAAACCAAAATTATACGCAGGAAATTGCACTCGACATTGAGAATTATTATTAACGTAGCAAAAAGATGAAACCACATTAACATCTAAACTATACAGTCAATTAGTTGTGAATGCCAAAAATTGTATAGTTCAAAGTCAAAAAGTCAACTGCATACAAATACTGAATATTGAGGGAATTATTCTTGGTTAAGGTCAGAAACTACCACAAATTTTCATCAACCTCATTCAACAGCTATATGACGATGCCACATGCTAAGTGATCCACAATGGAAAGCTCAGTGATGACTTCCAAGTGAAGTGAAGACAGGAGTGAGACAAGGTTGCAGCCTACTATCAACCATCATCTTCCTCATTGTGATCGACTAGACTGGATCATGCAACAAACCGTGAGAAGGTAGAATAGGGGCATACACTGGCTGGACCGACGAAAAGACCCCAGAAGAAGATTTCGATTTCGCCAACGATGATGGTTTATGTCTAATGTCCTGTAGCACAAACTCGAAGATCTACAGGTGAAAAGTAATAAGTTGACAGAAGAGGTGAGGTGAGGCACGGTAGCGATGACGGGACTTCAGGTGAACGTAGAGAAGATAGAGGTGATGAAGATACCCAACCACTACCACCACCACTAGCAACAACAACAACAAGCATTAATCACGATGAACGGGAGAAACCTAAAGGAAGTAGTCTCTTTCACCTACCTACCTACCTAGACAGCATCGTTTTAACTACAGGTGGTGGTACAGGCGAGGATGTCAAAACCACGATCGGAAAAGCAAGACAGGCTTTCACTAATCTGAAATAAGCAGTGTGCAGATCTACTGCACTCAGCACAAAGAACAAGATCCAGATTTTCAATACTAATGTCTACTCAGTGTTTCTATGTGATGGTTGAGAGAGACTTGGTGCGTCGCGAAAAGCATTTCCAACAAATTACAGGCATTCATCAACAGTGCCACCTACGCTCACTCAATACTGAAGATGGAGATCATATGGCAAGAAAGAATAAACAACAAGGAAGTCAATCTGGGAACGAACTAACAAGGCAAGAACCTATCAGCCAACAAATATGCAGAGAAAGAAAGTGGAGATGGATTGGATTGGGAATACACTGAGAAGGTCGACTGTGGACATCACGCGTGAGGCCATGCCAGGCCAGGCCAGGCCAGGTGGTCGAGTGGAATGAGAAGGGGAAACGACGTGTTTGGTGTCCGAGGTGAGGGTGACATGGAGGAGATGGTGTGAGGAAGAAATGAGAGCTTCTGGGCAGTCGTGGAGCGAGATTGAGAAGGCTGCAGAGAAGAGAGTGTAATGGAAGCGTGCTACTGAAGCCGTATGTTCCACTAGGAACCCAAGGGGAAAATAACAATAATAATAGATAGGGGCATATTACGCCTACAACCGTTCGGAAAGATACAAGTTTTAGTTAAAGAAAATATAAATATCAGGCTACCTATCGGCCTAAATGTGTTATTCACATCTGAGAACAAACAAATTTGAACTGTCAAAATTACTATTGCTATAAATACTGACCGGCAGTCTTCAGTGCTGTATACATCAACAACATATTTCGCTCCGACAAATTATCTATTCCAGTGACGTTTGGTTCTGTGCATTCATTTTCATCCTGTGACAGTAGTAGTAGTTGTTGTTGTTTAGATGAGAATATTTCAGGTATGCCACCAGGATGTCTGGCTAAGCGTTGAGGTTGAACAAGATCAGGGCAAAGTATTCGTGCTAAGCGTATAATTAAAGGAGTTCTAAAACACTGTGTTCCTCTTGGGGTTCCAACCAGTGTACTGAAGAATCCTGATCCATCAACTGATTTACCACTATTACCAGTGGTAACGTTACCATTGTTTAACATAGTGCCAGATATATTGTGATCAGCTGAACTGATGCCAATGTCACTATCTGGAGTCTAACCAAGAAAATGTAATAAAAAAATAGTAGAAAAGGGTTAAATGAGAAAAATTATAACTGAAACTTTGACAACTATATGAAGATTATGAAAAGGTTGTTTGAAATTATTATCATACACAGAAGCACAATTACAACATCAGATGAAGTCTATGGAAGTCCAAGCTTCTAATTCTACTAGCAAGACTGGAGAAGGATTATAGATAGACGAATAGACAGGCAGGCGAACAAGCATACAAACATGGACATACACATTTATCCACATAAAAGCAGAGTGTGACTGACAGGTATGATAACACTACTGGCCAAATAACAGAGGTTAATGTGTATGAATGACTATGTTTGTATGTGTGTGTGTGTGTGTTGCAGAAAGAGGGGGGTAACAAACAATCACTCATGTGATGAAAAACAACGAATTGCTAAAGTCGATAGGGGTACAAAAGAAGAATTGATAACTTAAAAAGCACTACACCATTCTAATTTAAGTAGTGTTCTAAAGCATTAAATCCTTCATGTTTGTTTATACACCAGTAGAGATGACAAAATAAGTAATGTCCAAAGATGAAAGGATATGTAATGAGTTGCTTGAGGGTTCACAATCAATTAAGCACCTTTGTATCATGAAATCAAGTGAACCCTATATAACTCTTTTAGATCGTCATATACTCAACATGTTCAAATTGGTAGCATTGTTTTGTGCAGTTTTTATAACTAAGGCATGTAGTTCTTCATGCAAAGAATTCCTCAGATTAAGGCATAACTAGTAAAGTAAACTAACATAAAGGCGGGATCGTGGGTGCACACTGCTGAGGAGTCCCATACTAGGACGAAACAGCTGTCCAGTACTCCCAGGTTTCCTTTGTTCCTCCAACTGATGTCAATCTATGATGAATAACAACAACTTGAAATAAAGTGAAAGGTCATCATCCAGTATCAGTGTACTGTAATGAATGAATAAATAAATCACGCTCTAGTACAGTGACAAAGTTCTACTTTTACAAGTATGAAACAGTTTTGTTTTGTAATCATAATAGATCTTTTAATCAACAAACGATCAATATATATATATATATATATATATATATATATATATATATATATATATATATATATATATTATACACTTCAGAAATTTAGTCATTATATCAAATATTTCAGCTCAAATAACTCTAAATCATATGCATCTTTATTGTGAGTATGAATATTGATTCATACTGATAACTAACTTCAAAGGCAAAATATACAAATTAAACAAAGCTTACATCATTCATTCCAATTGGTAGTCCGATAGAATGAGATTTAAACTGATGATTCACTGATCCAGTTATATTAATAGGACCACCAGATCTTGAATCAGTTTCCATGACTGGATTATTGTTGATATGTTGAACACGTAGAGTTGTAGTTGGACGTTCTAACAGTAGAGAAAATTTTTTTTAAACATTAGTTAAAAAGTAAATCTAGAAATATCCAGTTATTTATTTGCAGCATACAAAAAAAAGGGTTGGGGTTGGTTGTGCATAAACGCTATATGAGAGGATGATGACTAAGGCTTAAACAAAAAGTTGGGTCACATCATCATCAACACAGGACCAGGGATCACTGCATATAACCGTCCGAGTTGTCACAGCTCATATCAGTACATCAAGTAAAAAGGCACTGAGGTGCAAGATGAAGATAAGAGAATGCAGTCAGAAGAAATATAAACTACAAGAAGAAAGAAAGGAAGAATGACAAAATGGTAAGATTCAGTATAGTGTCGTTAACATGAGGAAAATGTGTGTATACATCTGTGCCACTGACATCGATTCTGAGCCATATCACCTAGACTCTCCAACCACTGGTTCTTCTTGTCCCATGGATCCCAACCACCTAGTATGCATTACCTCACATAGCTCAGACCAACAGTCAGAGAATTAATACATTTATGCCGTGTTTTAGTCTGGCCACCTGGGGTCATTTTCCAGCCTCAACCTACTTCGGTCAACATTGCGTGACGAGGCAATCGGTGACTAGACAGGCATACGTAATACGTGTCCCAACCATCTCAGTCGATGAAGGTTCATAACCTCATCAACTGATTTACCTCTACTCCCTAAAACTCTACACCTGACTACTGTGTTACTCACATGATGATACCACGGAATACGGCCTATACTACGAAGTCAATGGTGGTCAAACACCTGAAGCCTTCTCATGTCTTCCACCTTTAATGGCCATGTTTCACAGCCATACAGTAGAACAGAGCGGACTGCTGTGCAGTACACGCGACCATTAATAGACAAACGAATATCACGGCGGCGCCATAGGTGGCGCAAATTGGCAAAAGCCAATCGAGCCTTTTGTATCCGTGCAGAAATCTCATCGGCAACTAACCCACCAGGGTTGATCCTACTTCCCAGGTAAGTGAAGTGGTCGACACACTCAACCATTACACTCTCTACAGTTAGCCGAGGCACCGTTGGAGATCAATCCTGGAACAACAATTTGCATTTCGGTGGTGAGAAACGCATCCAAAACATTCTCAAATAGCCACTCAAAGTGTTCAGAAGACTCTGGATCTTGTCAGCGTCTTCACGTAACAGGACAATGTTATCTGCATATTCTAGGCCTAACAAAAATCCTCCCGCGATTAGTTCAACATCTGTGTAATCAGGTGGTGACTTGAGGGAGACCTCCATAAGAATATCTATGAAAAAACTGAATAAGAATGGAGTGGCTACCCTTGACGGACACCCCTCGATGAGCATAGCTCCCTGGACATCTCACCACTGGCTCTAACATGTCCACAAGTGTTCGAGTAGAGAGCTTTCAATAAGGTGATGTACTTGCTAGGTACGCCTTTCAGTGACAGACATTGCCATAGGACTTCTCAAACACCGGAGTCGAATGCCGCCTTCAGATTCAGAAATACAGCTATTGTCTGGCATTCGTAAGCGTGTCTGTGTTCCAGAACCCGGCGCAGTATGAATATTTGGTCGACAAACACACGGCAGGGTCTAAAGATTGCCTGGTTTTCTCAGGCTTGCTGTTCCCAAACTGCACTCAGGAGTCGGGGAATTATAGAACCTAGGATCTTGGACACTGTTCGTCAGGCTGACTCCACTGCGGTTATCACAAGAGGACTTCTTGTCTTTCTTGAAGACTGGGATAATCAGTGATTTAGACCAGTCAGAGGGGATCGTATTTGATTCCCATATACTGGTTAACACTTCCGTTAGTTTGACTAAGAGCACCCTACCATCATCCTTGTATACTTCAGGAGTTAGTCCGTCCGGTCCTGCCGCCCTTCCTCGTTTGAGGTTACCTACTGCTTTCTCGACTTCTGCTAGTGTTGGGAGGCTGATTTCAATGTTCCATTCAGGATCCGACTGGACAGCGGGCAACGCAATGGTGGCTGGAGGCCAGTTAAACTGTTCCTCGAAGTGTTCTGCCAATAGCTCCCGTCGTCTCCCCTGCGAGTGAATCGCAGATCCGTCCTTCTTCGCTATAGCCTCACTAACTGCTATTGACCTTTTCCCCCTAGTTTCCTTAATAACTCTATATAACTATTTGCTGTTACCAATCGCCGCTGCCTTTTCCATCTCTTTAGCCTTCGCTGCCCATCACTGTTCGCGATCGTTGCGTAGACTTTTTCTCAGTCTACTTTCTAGTTGCGCTCGCTCTTCGTTGTACTCAGAGCCTGCGGGGATGCGTTTACGTGCATCCATTAGTTCGGAAGAAACTGCTGATATCCATTGGCTCTTTCTAGCCACTCTTTCGGAGTGGGCTACGGTCTTCAGCGCTGCTTTTACACCAGACTGGAGATGGCACTAAGCTTCTTCTGGATGAGTGATAGTCTTTTGTCCCGATAATTGCCTAGCCAACTTACCGAACACGGCTTTGGTGTTTTCGTTATCCACCAGCACTTGTAGTGGCTTTGTTGTCATTGAGACGCAGGCATACACGCGCTCGAACCAACGCGTGGTCGCTATCCGAACACGTACTCCAGAAGGAGCGGAAGTCTCCTACCGATCCTCTCCAGCGATGACTAATAACAATGTGGTTTATCTGTGTCCATCGCTGAGTTGAGCTCGGTGAACGCCACGTCAGACAGTGTCTTTCTTTATGCCTGAAATTTGTGCTAGCTAAAATAGGCGATCATCTGAACATAGTTGTAGTAGGCGATCACCGTTATCTGTACGTTCAGCAGGGACTCCAAAAGTGCCACCTAAGTGCCTTTTTGCCTCAATCAGTCTACCCACCACGTCTGGCTTTCGAGAGGAGGCTAGCCAGTTATTGGTAAAACTCGTCATTCACTTCAACAGAACTACAGTCAGTGGGTGCGTAAGCAGAGATTACAAAGAGACAATGGCGAGTCTCACTATTCCTATTAGTTATCACTGTATCGTGTTGGTTCATTTGTCGTTTCAAAGTTGGGTTACGCTGAGATTAGACTTCCAACGGACCATTCGAACACTCTACTGACAGGACTCAACTTGCTTACTATGCCTCAAAATCCACTCCAATTCACTGTCAGTTTTGTTCAGTTCTCAACTGAATGGGTGATACTTGACTATTAGTTCACCATTATCCCACGAACTACCTAGTCACGTTGTCTCGTACTAATCTAAAGCGAGCTGAACTAGAATGTAACAACACAAAATAAAATATCAAATTGACAGAGAACCATGGTAGTAGCAGAAAACAGTGTTGTTATCTATTCACTTCAATTTAGTTGTAGTAAACGGACAACATCTTAAAAAGGTATCTATCAAGTCTGTAGTGTAGCACTTCAATGAATAAAAGGGAAGAAATTGAAAATAAACTGAAAGGAGGAAGAAGATAGCAACAGAAAGGTCCACAACAACATTTTTCAGTGACCTATGATGATTTGAAGAATACAAAGGTATATATTCTATTTACAAAAATACCGTAATATCAAGATTATTCTGAGGACAACATGTGTAGATAACTCCATTTATAAGTAGTAACACTTGAGCAGTAATGAATCAGATTGATTGATTTCTACTATGGTCATTCTGTCTTTTCAATTATATCTGTAATGTGTATGATAACTTACAGGATGTTCAATATACAGTGAACACAGAAGAATTCACAATGTTGTTGGTAGGATACTGTAAGGTATATTTATCATAGACGATACTTATCATCCCTTACGCTTAGTTTTCTTAAAGCATCTTCAGAAATGTTTAACAGATAAAAACACTTTTAGCCAGAAAGTGGATGACGAATCTAACATTTGTGTGTTTCGAAGGTATTGGATAACTCACGTAGAAGAAAATATGAACTGTCTTATTTTACGATTCAGATGATAAACTTGTGATGCTATTACATTACATAATTTATGTAACGTTATACCTTTTACCAGAGTATTCCCTTAATTTTGTATTTCAGTGTTACTACTCAGTTGTTGATTAAAAATTATGAAACTTTAGTTAGTGATTTATTGTTGAGATTAGGGCCATTTATCATTTACTCTACACGTGTTAACCTCATACTCCCTATTCACCATCGGCACAATCGCACAATGCTAACTGGAATAGGTTTTGATGGAAAAAGTTAAGGGGAGGCCAAACCAATACATGGTATCATTCCATGAACGCACTGACTACTGGTCTGAGCCAAACTAGGAAATGTAGACTTACAAGTTGGGGTGTGCATGACAACAGAAACCAAGGAGAGTTGGAGACTATATGATATGGCTCAAAATCGATCTCAAGGGTGCCGATCTTTCCTAAAAATTATCTTCATTGTAATCATTATACTAAATTCAGCACTTTCTTATTCCTCCTTATTCTTATCACGACTTTCTACCATTTTTAACTGTCTTTTCTCTCTATTTCTTTATGCTTCTCCATAGTGCTTTCTCGATTGATATACTGATATGTAGTATGGCAACTTGAACCGTTGCGCAGTAATGCCTGGTTCTATGTTGACATTACCTATCTATATATCTATCCACTTTACGCTTGTCTTATAGAAGTCAACTTTCTAGTCCCCATAAAAAAGGCGCTCAAAACTACAACGATATTGACTAATTACGTTAGTTTAGCAGAAGAAACCTAGGAGGGTTAAGTAGACTCTGATACATACCACAAATACATCCTATATATAAGTCGGAGCTTGTACACTTACGAACAACCTTGAGGTAATTCAACAGACTCCTAGACACTTCATAGGTAAACAACAACTTCCTTTCTTCCATTCATTCATACAACTGCCAAGAAACAACTATCACATGTTTGTGCACGTTAGCAATCACCCTTATAAGGCAAGTATACTTTCGAATTGAGAAGTTTGACGTTGCATTGTTCACAGAATGATAGATGGTATCAGATATCTAGCTATACAGGTAGTACATACTACTACTACTAGTGAATGTAAACAAGCACAGAGTTTTCCACCAATTAATCTCTAAGTGTGTAAACCAATACTCATCATTACAAAGGTAGCTTTCCACTTGAAAACACTGCGTACACCTTAACATAATCGATCATATTTCTAGAGAAAAGAAAAATGAAACATTTTTATGATTGAAAATATTGAGTTGTGTTTTTAAAGTGAACCCTTCATTATACATTGAACGGTATATCTACACTAATGATTACATATAGCATAATCTATTATATATACTGTTTTAAGGAGGAGAAAGGGAAATGAATTTAGTGATGAGTGAGTCAGTAAAGTCAAAAGATGAAAGGAATTATGAATGCTGAAAATTCATTTATTAAATAAAATGTGTAAAGAAATTTGGAAAATATAATATACATATGAATAAGATATACAATAATATATATGCAGCTTATGACAAAAAAAATCAATATATGCATACATATATATACATGCGTATACAGAACTATTGATTTTGAGAATCTGACAAAAATCTGGCCACAAATGTCAAATAAATTTTGCTATCATTATATCGATCGCTCATGTATATACGTAATATACAAAGTGTAAAGTCCAATGTGTAATTTAGACAGTTAATTTATAATAAGAGACGGGGAATAGCAGAGATATAAACTAGGAAAGGTTCGATGATAAGATCTTCTGAATGACTTCAAAAGCATTTGGTGCCTTCAAAGTTACTGACAGACTATGGTTTGTTCATGTTGAAGCTTATCGATATGATGTATCTGTTACCTCGAGAAAACTCATACATTTTTAAGAAGTAAAGTTATTATATTATTTGTCCCATGGGTTCCTAATGGAACATAGGGATTCAGTGGCACGCTTCCATTACACTCTGTTCTCTGCAGCCTTTTCAATCTCGCTCCACGACTGCCCATAACCTTTCATTTATTCCTCACACCATCTCCTCCATGTCACCCACACCTCGGACACCAAACACATCGTTTCCCCTTCGCATTCCACTCGACCACCTGGCCTGGCATGGCCTCACGCGTCATGTCACCAATCGGCCTTCTCAGTGTATTCCCAATCCAATCCATCCCCACTTTCTTTCTCTGCATATTTGTTGGGTGATAGGTTCTTGCCTCGTTAGTTCGTTCCCAGATTGACTTCCTTGTTGCTTATTCTTTCTCGCCATATGATCTCCATCTTCAGTATCGAGTGAGCGTAGGTGGCACTGTTGATGAATGTCTGTAGTTTGTAGGAAGTGCTTTTCGCGACGCACCAAGTCTCTCAACCATCATATAGAAACACTGACTAGACATTGGTATTGAAAATCTGGATCTTGTTCTTTGTCCTGAGTGCAGTAGATCTGCACACTGTTTATTTCAGATTAGTGAAAGCCTGTCTTTCTTTCGCGATCGTGGTTTTGACATCCTCGTCTGTACCACCACCTGTAATTGAAACGATGCTGCCTCGGTAGGCAGGTAGGTAGGTAGGTGAAGGAGACTACTTCCTTTAGGTTTCTTCCGTTCATGGTGATAGGTCTCTTGTTGTTGTTGGTTGGTTATCTTCATCACCTCTGTCTTCTCTACATTCACTTGAAGTCCCATGTTCGCTGCCCTGCCTCTTCTGTCAACTTGTTAGTTTTCGCCTGTAGATCTTCAAGTTTGTGTGACATCAGATACAAGCCATCGGCGAAATCCAAACCTTCTAGGTTCTTTCCTACTGTCCAGCGTATCCCCCTCTTCTCGCTCCTCACAGTTTGTTGCATGATCAAATCCACTACAATCAGGAATATCATGGGTGATAGTAGACAGTCTTGTTTCACTCCTGTTACAGTCAAATCGACATCATTAAAGTATTATCAATTAGCCGATAATAAGCTCTAAGTTTGTATAAATGATATCCTGCTGATCACTAACCGAAACCACCGGGTGACCGCTGGTTCAAATCCGGCCGCGGTCCAAATTTTATCTCACCTTCAATCATCACCCAGTACAAATAATTAAGAAGTCTGATAGTACTAAACCAAAATGAAGCAATTTAATACTGAGCTACCACCATTAGTTGTCATAAACTTGTCATCTTGATTACTTTTGAAGCAATGAAAAAAAAATAATAATCATAAAATAACAGAAGCTTGGAGCGGGAGAAAACGATTTAGAATCAAAGTCTAGGCAAATAATGGATTTATACTTTTAAAAAAAGTAACCAATCTGTCGGATAATTGAATTCGATAAAAGAGGGTTAGTGTTATCATATGATGATGTAGTTCTCTCTCTTATCATCACATGGTTTCAGAAATAGTGAAACAAACAAATCGATCAATTTATATATTCAATCAAGATAGTGCTGACAATAGGTACCAAAATAAAACTCACTACATTTCACAGAATGATTATACAATATCTACAGTTATATATAAAAATTTACCTTTAGAATCGATATTTTTTAAACCTCCATAACGTTTCCAGTATGACCAACAACCAGAGCATAAACGAGAATTACTGTTTGAACCCCATGCATACCACTGTGTGGAGTTCAGAACTGTGTAAAATGAAAAGAAAAGAAATAGGGAAAGTTGTAAAGTGTTTCCCTTCAGTGTTAATGGAATAACCAAAGGTGGGATACACATACCTGGTCTACCTCTGGACTAGAAACAAATAGAATGGAAAAACTCAACAGTTTACTTCCTTAATAATGAAACTTTTAAACAACAATAACAACCGTAAGGTAAATTATCAGTGTAGTAGGATAAGATAAATTTTCACACGATTAAAGGAAACAACTTTCATAAAAAATATACGGGAAATTAACCAACTATGACTTGTCATATTTTTAAATAGTTTGTGTTAATTTATTATTGTTTGTCCCATGGGTTCCCACTGGAACATAGACATTCAGTAACATGTCACCATTTCACTCTCTCCTCTGAAGTCTTTTACACACAGCTCCACCACTGCAAACAACCTTTCATTTCTTCCTCACACCATCTCCTCCATATCAACCTCACCTCCGACACCAAACTCCTCGTTTCCCCTTTGCGTTCCACTCGATGGCCTGGCACAGTCTAATGTGTGATGTCCCCAAATGGTCTTCTCAATGTATGCACAATCCAATCCAATCCAATCCATTCCATCTCCACTTTCTTCTTCTGCATACTCGTCGGACAATAGGTTCTTGCCTCGTTGCTTCGATGCCAGCAAACCAGAATTCCTACTTGCTTATTCTTATTATACTGGCCATATGATCTTCAGTGTCAGCATTGAGTGAGCGTATGCGGTAGCTGTAGATGATGTATGTGTGTAGTTGTTTGTTGGAAATGCTTTTCATAATGCGCCACCAAGTCTGTCAACCATCACATAGAGAGAAGCACTGACTTACTTGACTGAATTAGTGTTGAAAATCTGGATGTTGTTCACGCTTTATGCTGAGTGGACTGGACTGGACTGGAGTGGAGTGGAGTGGTGTGCAAGGTGGTACAGTAGATCTGCACACTGTTTATTTCAGATTAATACAAGAAGGTGTGTCTTGCTGTCTTTCCGATGCTGGTTTTGATGTGCTCATCTGTGCCCGTACCACTGTATTGCCTGTAGTTGAAACGATGCTGTCTATGTGGGTGGGTAGGTAGGTAGGTGAAAGAGACTACTTCCTATAGGTTCCTCCCGTTCATCGTGATTAATGCTTATTGTTGTTGTTGATGTTGTTAGTTGAGTATCTTCATCACCTCTGTCTTCTCTGCATTCACCTGAAGTCCCGTCATCGCTACCCTGCCTCACCTCACCTCACCTCCTCTGTTAACTTGTTAGTTTTCATCTGTAGATCTTCGAATTTGTGCTACAAGACATTAGACATAACTCATCATCGGCGAAATCCAAATCTTTTAGGGTCTCGTTAGTGTGAATTTTATGAATTTTAACTTTTGAAATAGACTATGAGGAGACTTATTAATTGGTTATTGTGTTCGGCCCAACTCGTTATCGAAGTTCAGATGATGAATACTAGTATCAATCATAGTTCTGTTAGTTATCGCAAAACTAGAGTGTATCTTTATATGCTGTGTAAAAAAAGACAGATGACTGTTGAAGCGAAATCGTAAGAAATCATTACAAATGTCAGTTTAGGCACCATGAAAGTATCTGTTTGTTTTGAATTATAGATCAAATTTGACAATTTCCAGCGAAACTCTTCTTTTATGTTATCCAAAATGTGACTAGTGGTTGTCAGTCAGTCAGCATTAGAGTGGGACCTGGCATTACTGCGTAACGGTTTAAGTAATCTGCCACACCTTACATCACCATGCATGGTCGACAGACATACACATGAGAGACAGGTAGGTAAAGGAGAACGCAATAAAGAAGTGGTAGGAAGTCGTAGTAAGAGAAGTGAAACAATAATGAAATTTAGTATGACGATAATGTGTAGGACCCACCTGGGTCGATGAGATCGATTCTCAACCATATCGCCTACAGTCTCCACCTGCTGAATTTGGTTATCACGTGAACCCCAAAACAGGAAGCCTACACTTTCCCCATACAACTCAGAGACCTCATGAATTGATGTCATGTTACAGTCTGGTTGCACCTAACATTTTTGCAATCAAGCCTACTTCAGGTAATATTATTCAGTGGAGTAGGACTAGCAGTTATGAGTTGTGAAAATATAACTAGACATCAGAAGATACCTTAATCTTTGCGAGATCCTCTTAGTCCATTCAAATTCATAGCACATGCGACTGTAAATTCGGACCCAGCCACGTGTATTTTAGTACTTGATCTTAAACTGAGACACAGGCAAGGTTAAGACAAGTAATTCAGTGGTTCACTGAGATAATCAAGTCTGATCAACATGTGCTGACAACAAACAGCTCTTAATCCGTCCTATTAAGACAACTTTCAAATGATAACAACAAACAGAGTAGTTTCACAGCTTACACAACTTTGGGGATTTAACGTGTAATCCACGAAAGCAAAATATCTGCAGGTGAGTTAAGCTGTCACACAGCTTCAACCACGACTGATACAACAAGGATACTGAAAATGAATTACACTAAATAATCAACAAATTTATATTGAATAGGCTCAATAACAACATACTAGTAGGTATTAAGTTCGATTTATTAGGTATAGACTAACGATATCCACCTTTAGTCATGCAAGATGAAGTACATTCAATCCAAGAACTAGTGGTTGGAATTTGAATACCAAAGTTACTAAGCTATCGATATAATTTGAAGCATATTAGTAGACCCTCAATGATATGTAATAGTTACATCACCCCATAAGAAGTAATAGAGAAAGTGGAGAAACCTCCAATTGGTGTAGTAAAATTAATTTTATTTATAAATCTCAACAAAAAACAATAATTATTAAATATTAGGAGATTAAACTATTTCAAAGATAAAAGTAATCTCGATGGAATACAATATACTTAAAGCAAGTTTATAAGCATATTAACTTACATCCGCATCCTTCACATGGTCGACTAACTTTATCTGTACCATGATACAAAACAGCTGGATTAGGTTTACTATAATTAGGAATGTAAACCTGTTTTAATTTATGTTCCTGAGCAGCTAGTTTAGTTCGACGTTGTCTAACATAACGATCAGTGGTTTTCCAAAAGTAATAAAGTTCAACAATTGATTTATGCGTTTTCCATGGTAAACAATCAGACAGTATATCTGTGAAAACCTTGGAATATTTATCCAATGCTTCTTCAAATATATGCGCTTCATTCGCAGACCAATCTTCCAACTGATCCCGATATATAACAGGTTGACCACCTGGATAATGAGAAATAATATAAATACAATCAACTGATACATTGAATATCTTGAAGATTTCATAACGAAATCTCCAGAGGCATGCATGTGTCTAGTAGAGTGGAATGTAATTAGAGAAATCCATAATTCATATATGGTACTATATATGAAAAACGTACAACTTCTAGTACCTTACTAACTGTGATTTTCTCTTCTAAGAATAAGAAACGATAGTAGCGAAGTATCAATTCTCCCTGCAGAGGATATCATTAGTATAAAACTTAAAAAGCAAACCTTGGGAATAAAGTTTTGCAAACAAGTACACTTCTAGTTACTAGACTGGGGATATTACCTACAGCATAGTAATTGACAGTCAACTCTTTAACTTACGTCAACTTCATCGATTTTTAAAAAACCTTCAACAACGTCAACCGAAAAGTTATTTGGCAGCTGCTGCTTCAACACTACCGTTTCAGTGACACAAACCTTCATCAACCTTATTCAACAGTGGCTACACACTACGCTATATGGTGAATGCTACATGCCAACTGATTCACAATGGAAAGCACAGTGATGACTTCCAAGTGAAGTGAAGACAGGAGTAAGACAAGGTTGCAGCCTACTATCAACCATCATCTTCCTCATTGTGATCGACTAGACTGGATCATGCAACAAACCGTGAGAAGGTAGAATAAGGGCATACACTGGCTCGACCGACGAAAACACCCCAGAAAAAGATTTGGATTTCACCAACGATGATGAGTTATGTCTAATGTCTTGTAGCACAAACTCGAAGATCTACAGGTGAAAAGCAATAAGTTGACAGAGGAGGTGATGTGAGGTGAGGTGAGTTGAGGCACGGTAGCGATGACGGGACTTCAGGTGAATGCAGAGAAGACAGAGGTGATGAAGATACCCAACCACTACCACCACCACAACCAACAACAAGCATCAATCACCATCAATGGGAGAAACCTATAGGAAGTAGTCTCTTTCACCTACCTACCTACCCACCCACATAGACAGCATCGTTTCAACTACAGGCAATACAGTGGTACGGGCACAGATGAGCACATCAAAACCAGCATCGGAAAGACAGCAAGACACACCTTCTTGTATTAATCTGAAATAAACAGTGTGCAGATCTACTGTACCACCTTGCACACCACTCCACTCCACTCCAGTCCAGTCCAGTCCACTCAGCATAAAGCGTGAACAACATCCAGATTTTCAACACTAATTCAGTCAAGTAAGTCAGTGCTTCTCTCTATGTGATGGTTGACAGACTTGGTGGCGCATTATGAAAAGCATTTCCAACAAACAACTACACACATACATCATCTACAGCTACCGCATACGCTCACTCAATGCTGACACTGAAGATCATATGGCCAGTATAATAAGAATAAGCAAGTAGGAATTCTGGTTTGCTGGCATCGAAGCAACGAGGCAAGAACCTATTGTCCGACGAGTATGCAGAAGAAGAAAGTGGAGATGGAATGGATTGGATTGGATTGGATTGTGCATACATTGAGAAGACCATTTGGGGACATCACACATTAGACTGTGCCAGGCCATCGAGTGGAACGCAAAGGGGAAACGAGGAGTTTGGTGTCGGAGGTGAGGTTGATATGGAGGAGATGGTGTGAGGAAGAAATGAAAGGTTGTTTGCAGTGGTGGAGCTGTGTGTAAAAGACTTCAGAGGAGAGAGTGAAATGGTGACATGTTACTGAATGTCTATGTTCCAGTGGGAACCCATGAGACAAATAATAATAGTACTCATATCTCACGTTCTCCATGTGATCGCAATTAAAATAAGGGCAATTACACGCAATAATGAGACATAGCTAAGAGAATCCTCTAAGGTGATCATTTTGGAAAAAGATGTGACTGAACATAAGCTATACACTAAAGGCCTGAGAAATCATAATTGAATTCTCTGTTGAGGTTTGATAATAAACTTCGGCTAATTGGTTTAGGGAGATGATGGGTTCTGGTATCGCTCCTTCAACCCAGGTAGTATCACTAGGCCTTATGCAATAGGTATGGCTCTTTATCAACTGTACAAATGTGCATAAAGTTGCTGAGTGCAATTCGACTCAAAATAAACTTGTTTTCATTCAATATATATAAAAGGTGAAAGATGGTTGTTTTCAAGCCCATATCATAATTATAGGATTCATCCTTATTTGGAAATCTTACGCAATAACGATATAGCGTTGATTAGTTCTGTGACTCGATTCGTTTACAGGTTCAATGAGTATCCGGTATACCCTTTTATAAATATGCAATAGAATATTTATCCACAGGATACTAGACACCTAAATTGAATCGATTTTTCTTTGTCATTACTAATCCACACACACACACACACATACGCACACACATACATCACATAATGCAATTCACCTATGAATACATACGTGTATGTATGTGTGTATGTGTACAGACACATACGTGGTATATGCAGAAAAGTATTGATGAACTTTACTTCAGGTCACGAAAACAAGTTAGATTAAGAGGAAAAGCAAATAATCAAAACTCTTTCAAAAAAAAATAGCTTTTAAGCAACCCGAATAAAAGATAGTGAAGTGGTCATCACTACTACATATAAATAAATAACTATTCAGCAACAATGAAATCTCAAGAAGAAGAATAATTGATAATAAACTAACCAGGCAATAGAAGATTTATTGCTTTATTTAAATCATAATTTGCTTCATGTAGAATATCATGAGCATGTTGTCGAGTAATATCTCGTCCAGCTGCAGCTGCTGCACTTAACAAAAGAGGTTGTCTAGCTGATGATGAAGTGTCATGAGCACGACCATATGTACCCACAGCTCTAGCTAACACACAAAACATATCGATTTCTTGATCAGTTAATGAATGTGAAGGCGACCATACCAATTCTTCATGAATTTCAGCTAATCGGGTATCTTCTGATTCTGTATTTAATGAAAAAAATAAATTTTCACTTATTTTTTTTAAAAATTTAGCTGCTATTCGTGTATGTATTATGATACTATGACTAATAGATAAAGACAATATATAGGTAACAAGTTTGTCAAGAAAGTTGAGGTAAAGCTACAGGTTCAAAGTACTCTGTTATTTTTCAAATTAATACTTTCAGATCATTTGCTATTAGGGTTTCTGAAAACGATTTTCTCAGCGACACTGATTGAACAAGTATCACCAAGAATTTCAGTGCATATTGGTTTTTTATTATTATTATTAAGTAATCAGCAATAACCATTTCGATCGAAAAGCGCTATATATCTATTTACTGATAGACGGGCAGACAGATAGTCAGTCAGTCAACGTAGGACCTCATATACAAGTGGATCGGTTCACAATTTGCCATACTTCAAAGTAGTATGCAAGGAATAGGTGGATAGAAACAGATTGATATCAGAGAGGAAAAATTTCAATGGGAGGAGAAAGGATTTGAAAATAATGGTCAATGAAAATGCTAAGGCTTTGGAACAGGTTGAAGGGTGAATACATTTGCGTCATTGTGACCGATTTTCATCCATGTCACAAAAGATCTCTAATCATTGATTTCTATCGTTTCAAGAACTCCAATCAAGTACTCTACACCTCCTTACAAGTTTAAGATCAGGAGTGAGAGATTTCATAGAGTGGTGCCACATCTTGGTTTGGCGACGCAACCTAATCCCGTATCGACTAACATACGAAGTAGAGGTAGGTAGTGGGTTGGCAATTGCAACACATGTCCAACGGATCTAATTCGGTGAAGGTTTACAACTTCTTTGACCGCCTTCCTTTTCTTGCCTAGTACTTTCCACCTAACGTCGACATTGCTCATATAGTGATTCCACTATACATAAACAATGCAACGAAGACGCCTATATTCAAAAACTTGCAACTACTTCACGTCATCTAATGTCAACAGTCATGTAAAAGGACAGAACGGACTGCAGGGCAGTATACTAGTCCTTTAACAGGTACTCGGATATCTCATCAGTCAACGCCATAGATGATGTGAATTGGTAAATACTAAACTGGACTTCAGTATTCGATCTGAGACTTCGTCAGCAACCAGCCTATTCGGGCTGATGCAACTCCCCAAGCAAGTGAAGTGGTCAACGCATTCTAACACTCCCTCCCCTATCTTTAAACTGGGAGTAGTTGTGGACCAGTTTTGAAGGACTACTTTACAGTTGTCAGGTGCGAAATGCTTGCCAAACATATACAGGTTTCTGACCAAGGAGTTCAGAAGACATTCTGTTTTATCAATGTCTTCACTTAACAGGATAGAGTCATTTGCATACTTTAAGCCAGTCAGATGGCATCCCCTGTCCTACAGCTGAGCACATTAAAAACTACAATAACATTATCAATAATAACCTATAACAATAGTATTAATAATGATATTATTCAAAAAATTACTTGATTTCAGTAAGCACTGAATCTCAGACTGATGATCTGATCCGATTCTCATTGAACCTCGATCTTCTTGTAGAGTTTTCAAATTAGGATCATATATAAGTTTGTAGTAAAAAGCCTCATCTCTAGCCAGATAGTTTGTTAGTGGTTCTGCATCATTATGTAGTGTAACAGAGCATTTGCCTACAAAATAAACAATAACATTGAGTATACATACAACAATGCACCCAGACGAAGTAGAAATTGATCACTGAACCATAAAACAATACCTATATTCATGTTAGATGGTTAGAGGCAATCGTATTTTGAATGAAATATTCAGGATATATAAGAAACTTGGCATCGTTAAAGATCATCATATAACTGGAAGGTTGATAAGTAGATCGGTTATATATATCATGACTATACTTAAGTTTGTATATGTGTACTTGGATAAGTGAAACCTTATGTTGACTGCTCCTAAAGGCTTTTCAATAGAATACGGGGGTTTAGATTTGTGAAATCAACTGCTTCAAAATATCCAGCTGTTATCATTAAGTATTGTTGAAGATTTACAAATAAGAAAGTTTTTATAGGAATACGCGTCTGCTTATTAGCTAAAGTACTTTACTTTCGGTTCATACACCCCAAATCGTATCCTATTCTACCTTCTTCGGTATGATATTATCCTAAGACGTAAAACAACACAAGATGTGGCTAATAGCCTGATACACGAAAACTGTTCCATATATATGAATTTTATTGATTAGTCAATTGAACAGTTCGAATGAATCAATAGATGTGGTGCAACAAGGGTATATCTAAGTGAAGAACTCACAAAACAGCAGTGACCGAAGTATTCAACAAAAAATTGTAACCTAAATATTAAATATCGATTTTTTTTGGGAGTAAATCCAAACAAATAATGATCATTTTCCAGTATTCATCTGAGAACAGAAGATGAAAAATGAACACTTATTGATCTACTGTAATCACATGACCATTCAATGTTGATAGTCGATTACACCCAATATTAAACATTATCACCCCCACATAAACATGAAGAACTGAGAATAGTGCATTTGTCCTGGAACAATCTTCTTTGATGATATTTGGAGATAAACCACTTAAGAGTGGTCTAAGATAAAACAACTGATGTGCGTTTTTCAACAGCATGAAATCATCATAAAGGGAATGGAGTAACAAAATGATTACTGTATGGTGATCAATTGGTCTACAAGCTCCTCTGGTACCAAATCACTTGTAGATTCAATGAAAATTTGCAAATTACTGTAGTACAATACCACAAACAAAATATGAAAAATTATTATCCTACAAAACGGAATCATTTTTAGAGAAAGTCTCTCAACGAGTACAAATCGTTTAGAACATTACATGCCACTGACATGGAGACTTGAACGGTAACCTTTCCACAACAATTCAGATGTAGCATTTTCTATTTTCATAGACCAAACTCAATTAGCACTCACACTTTATCACGTTAGAAGTGAAAATGACTTTCTTCAATTATTATTATATTATTATTTTTCCCTTAGGCTCCTAATGGAACATAGGGATTCAGTAGCACACCTCCATTACACTCTGTTCTCTACAGCCTTTTCAATCTCGCTCCACGACTGCCCAGAAGCTCTCATTTATTCCTCACACCATCTCCTCCATGTCACCCTCACCTCGGACACCAAACTCGTCGTTTCCCCTTCGGATTCCACTAGACCACCTGGCCTGGCCTGGCATGGCCTCATGCGTCATGTCACCAATCGGCCTTCTCAGTGTATTCCCAATCCAATCCATCCCCACTTTCTTCTTCTGCATACTCGTTGGACAATAGGTTCTTGCCTCGTTAGTTCGTTCCCAGATTGACTTCCTTGTTGTTTATTCTTTCTCGCCATATGATCTCCATCTTCAGTATCGAGTGAGCGTAGGTGGCACTGTTGATGAATGCCTGTAGTTTGTTGGAAATGCTTTTCGCGACGTACAAAGTCTCTCAACCACATAGCTGCACTTACTTGACTGAATTGGTATTGAAAATCTGGATCTTATTCTTTGTGCTGAGTAGAATGGAGCAGATCACCACACTGATTTCAGTTTAGTGAAAGCCTGTCTTGCTTTCCTGATCGTGGTTTTGACATCCTCATCTGTGCCCGTACCACTGTATTGCCTGTAGTTGAAACGATGCTGTCTATGTAGGTGAGTAGGTAGGTAGGTAGGTGAAAGAGACTACTTCCTATAGGTTCCTCTCGTTCATCGTGATTAATGCTTGTTGTTGTTGTTGCTGTTGCTGGTGGTGGTGGTGGTTGGGTATCTTCATCACCTCTGTCTTCTCTACGTTCACCTCAAGTCCCGTCATCGCTACCCTGCCTCACCTCACCTCACCTCAGCTCACCTCCTCTATCAACTTATTACTTTTCACCTGTAGATCTTCGAGTTTGTGCTACAAGACATTAGACATAAACCATCACTGTTGGCGAAATCCAAATCTTTTTCTGGGGTCTTTTCGTCGGTCGAGCCAGTGTATACCCCTATTCTACCTTCTCACGGTTTGTTGCATGATCCAGTCTAGTCGATCACAATGAGGAAGATGATGGGTGATAGTAGGCTGCAACCTTGTCTTACTCCTGTCTTCTCTTCAAAGGCGTCACTGAGCTTACCACTGTGGACTTTCGTCAATGTTTCATATTTATTCCTTTGTAACACAGCAATTGTTCAATTTTAGATCGAAAAGAAAACTTTACATACTCTGAAACTCACTGACCAAGTACCGTAAAACTTCGCATAAATCTGAAGAATCTACCTAATCACTGAAGAAAAAAAATACCTGGAGTATCCTAAGAATCTGGCTTAGTTTTTACCCCGCAGACTTGCCTTATTCAAAGCTATATAACTTCTTATCTTCACATAAGCTTGAATAACTGAACCATTTCATTTCTGAATGCAGTTCAGAAAAATACATATTCAAAGAAATATGAATTGGATCAAGAATGTGAACGTACACAAAACCTAGATTGGACGTTCAATGTTGATTTATTTAAACAATTCAAAACACTTTATTCCACTGAACAAGTTGTAAAGTCATACAATGAGCAGAAGGAATAACAAAATTAACCGATTTAGATTTTTTTGTTTTAGTAAATAAATGACGATGATACAAGTTAATAAACATAGTATTATCACAATTTCTATAATTTACCCCTAATATGAGTAGCCGGTAGACATTCAATTTGCCGTGAAAGAAATAATTCTCGATGTTTGAGTTGATGTTTTTGTAATTCAGTGATCCCAATGGTGGAGCGTTTGGAAGTCTCTTTTGAGATTACATTTGACTGAGTTGTTTCATTTGAGCATTCATCATCATAATCATCATCACTTCCATCTGTAGAGGAAATAAAAATAGTTTGAAATATTCCAGATAATTTCTACTAAACTAATGGAATACTTACAGAATTACAGTGTGTGCCAAGTTTTTCTATATCAATAAACGGATTCGTATCACTCAATTATAGTTTGAACGATGTTTTTCTGTCAGAAATTAAACTGTATCAATGTCAACCTGATACAGCGTCACAACACACGGACTAATAACAGAATTAAAGTAACCTAAGTGGTGTACGTGGCCCAGATCAAACAATCAGAAGTGAAACGCTGGGATACCAATATAGGACTTGAATGATAATGCGATGATATACTTCACCTAATTCATTAAACATGTCAACAATTTTTATGCCTACATGATCACTCTAATGATACGCCATAGTGGTAGCTTCATCAGTCGCTAAGTTCTCTCTCTCTCCCTCCTTCTCTCTCTCTCTCTGTATATATATATATATATATATATATATATATATATATATATGGTAGGCGTTGATTACCTGCCTAATACTTTCCACAGACGTGCCCAGAAGGTTATGAGAACGAAACATAGGCAGTGAACGAGACAGTGACAGACATACAATTACCACATACATATGCACAAACACACAGTCTACACAAAAGGCATAAGCAGTGAAGTGAACAGACAAGCTAACAAGTAGAAAGAAACAATTGGTGTTAAACAGAGATACAGGCGTGACCTTAAGACCAATAAAGTAAGATAGCTGCTTTATACGACCAATATGGCGTCGCCCGAATAAGCACACATATGCGCAGCCATCATGATTCACTCTATTTTTAGCTTAAGAGAGTTAAGAGAGACCTATTTTATGGGTTTAAATGGGTAATGCTTATTCCAGCAATAACCGTTATTGCGACAAACAGGACAGGACATTTGCAGTACTTTAGAGATAACTTTTAAATTGAAAGCGCTACACGGAAGAAATGGTAAACAGCCATAAGTACAACTGTGTTATAAACAGTGGTGTTTGAATACAGAAGTGAACTTGCTGTTTGTTACAAACTTAAGAGAAATAAAATCCTGTTGAACATAGATCAGACTACATTTGTAGTAATTTGAAAAATAGGATCTGGTAGTTTTTATCTCCCTAAGTCCTTTATGTACAGGACAATACTGGAACAAAAACAAGGATAGTCGGGAATGAACTTCATCACGTCTCACCTCTGACTTTTTTATCGCTTTATCATAAAACTCAAACACAAGCTACTTATAAATCTCTTGTACAGTCACACGAAGAATAACAAGTACATCAAATTTATATTTTTCCATACCTCATTGTCACCATGATAGAGAGAGAGAGTGGTCATAGATCTTCAGTGGCCTGGGTCCTATTGTTTCTCCTCTTAATCTCGTAGGTATACAAGTAATGTAAAGTGTTTCGTTAATTAAACCTTCCTACTAAGATTATCATGAATCCTGCGATAATGCGGAGTCAACACTTGTTTTGTCTTGTGCTTAGTGAAGGGCACGTTAGCGTTTAAATTCAGTCGAGTACAGAATACACCCATAATTGAGACTTGTAACGAATTACATTGCATGGCAGCTGAATAATTATTCATAGTTGTAACACGTTAGCAACCAATGAACCAAAGTTGGTGGTATTTTCCAGGCAAGTGAAGTGGTCACTGTAACCAGCTAGTTCGTGCTCTATCGACAAGCGGCGCATAGATGTGAAACAGAACTGGTTAAATTATTTGCAACAGACAAGCGAGAAACATCCCCAAGTATCTTTGCGTTGTCACTTGAAATGTATGTCGTTTGACTGGAAGGTCTGATTAAAACAAGAAGTAACTAGAAAGGGAAACGGTGTTGTTGTCATCTATGCTTATGCATTAAGGAACTGCGGCCAAGATGTAGTTAACGATAAGATCTAAAAGGTATAACATTCAGGATGATGTCATGTCATGCTAGCTGAAGACATGAATGCATGGTTCCGGCGTTTAGACTCAGAGGAAGATTGTCTAGGTGGTCAGCAGGAATTAATCGGTTGTAGATAGGATGATGAAGACCGTGTTTAATTTCTAACCACTACAAACTCCCAACACACCCATCACGATTGGGTTACCGAGTGTTTTTCCTCTATCGTTAAAACCTAGACTCAAATAAATCATATTTTAATTAGCCATATTCAGGAATGACCAACTTTACTAGGCAAGATAGGAAAGTTGGTCGATGAGGTTGTGAACCTTTATCAACTGAGGTTACTTGGATGTATGTTGTGTATGCCAAGCCGCTGCCTACCTCGACGTGTGATGTCGACAGAAGTTGGATAAAGTTGGAAGAGTGCTTCAGAGTGGTCTGACCAAGACATCGGACCACTCCATAAAGTCTCCGACTCTTGGTCTGAGTCGTGTTGGAAAATGGAGACTGTCTGGCTGGGGTCCTCAAGACGAAGGGAATCATTGGTTGAGGACTCTTGGTGACATGGCTGAAAATCGGTCACAATGGAATAGATGTATTTACTCTTTGATATCTTCTGAAGCTCGAATGTTTGCACTAACCGTTATCTTCAAATTGTTTATTCTTTCATACAATTTTGTCTACTTTGATATCAGTCTTTTTCTATTCCTTTGTTCCTTGTATACTACTGTGAAATGTGGTAACTCGAACCGATGCATTTGCGTGCGGGTTCTACGTTGACGTCTTTCAAAGCTTGAACACTTTCATTGGCATTCATTTTCAAATAGTTTTTTTCTCATACTCTACTCTGATATCAGTCTTTTCCTTTCAATTTATTCTTTGTATGTTACTCTGAAGTGTGGCAACTTGAATCCATGCACTTGTGTGTGAGGTTCTGGGTTGATTGAGTCTTTCTCTTTCTGGAATAAGTTTGAAGTCTGCCCGCGCTTTAACGTGTATTAGTTTCATCTTATGTTTTCGTGATCATCAAAGATATCTTCCTAAACAGATTAACATGAGCATATTGGTTACACCTAATACTAAATACGAAACCGACCTAGATTTCAAACTACCTGCCGAATATCCCAAATGTATGGATAAGATTGGATGAACCTACGAGACCCCATGAAAATGGCGAATCAAGTTGTTCGTGATTTAGGAAAAGGTCTTGCAAATAAACAATGGGTGTCCACGATCTTGTTGTAGTCTTGACAAAGGTAGTTCCATTGCGCGAGAGATCACACGGCACTTACTGAAGACTGGTGGTCAGATCGAAGTAGCAGCTACAATTGGTAATAGTCAGAAGCTATCCCATCGCATCTAAGACACCAGTAGTATAAAGTTTGGTGTCAGTAACACGATGTATGAATCAGGTGATACGCCGATCAACAGCCATTGTATATATCTAGAGTACTACGCAGAGCACCTTAAAAGGCATTCCCGATCGTTTACTATCTCAAGAACTACAATCTTAAACTCCTTTTCTTTAAGGTCAGTTAAAACTGATCTACTTAACGAAGAAAAAATTCCGAAGGGATTCTGAGTACAAGGACGCACCACGAAGTACTGGGTTCAGACAACTTACCTCCCAGTTCTTTCCAAGGAATAAGCTGAGACTGTCATCAGGGAACTGATGACATTGTTTGAGAAGATATAGAAATTTGAGAGTGCTCCGTCAATCTGGAATGATACCGTCATCATCGCACCCTTCTTTAAAAGGGGTCTACTTAACATACGAGATAGTCATGGGGGTATCGGTCTCTTACTCGTAGCATGAAAAATGCTGGCTGTCATTACTTTACAAAAACCCTGTAAAATGCATGAAAAGCTGATCTGCAAAGAATGGATCGGGTCATGAATGCATTAATCATGTGGTCAAAATTCCCTAGATGCTCAAACACAGTCACATAGATTGCAGGTTAACAATCGGTTTATTCGTTGAATAGGACCATTCTCTAGAATGGTCTGTTAGACAGCAGTATCAGTGAAAAGTTTGTTAGCACGTTGAAGGAACTACATAAAAGCATCTCAGGTATAAGAAGGTATGCAACCACCTCTTTCCATTGTTCTAAATCAGGAGTGAGTTTAAGCAAAGATAGACAATTTCCTTAACTTTTTCATCGATAACATTCTCGAGAAACATCTGAAGGAGGTAGATGGTGATTAAGTGGTTACGAACTCTGAGAAAACAAAAGTATGGAACCTTTGCATCTCAGATACTTCACTATGTACAATGATGATTACATTCGTATTGTTTATAAGGAATATGGCACCGTTAATTAAAGCTATGATAGTTTCTTATCATAAACTAAGCTAAGTTTGACAGGTAACAGTTATCTACCACATGCACTTATACTCTTACAGAATGCATTCTAAACATGTGCAGTGATGTAACTTACAACTTTCAAATTATCACTCTTATGCAATTCTTTATTCGTGGTCTTACACTATATTTGAAAACAGTAAAACATATAAGTAACTGTGAGTTATTGAACAGCAATGTACTTTAATGAGATCCTCTTTAAAACGTGTATCAACTGAGATGTTTCCTAAGCAGTTTGATCATATTATCATCTAAAATATACAGAATAAACAATAATTACACTGGTCTAGTAAGTCATACGTATTATTCTACTTACTAAATAGATTCTTGATGGTAGTGAGTTCTTAGAAGTGTTACAAAATTGTAAGTTTTAAGAGTTTAAATAGATATGAAGATGGGAGTTTACAGTATTATAAATAAACATATCACACACTAAAAGATATCAGTATACAAAAATATTCAAATGGAAACTCACAATATTTTTCGGCTTGGTTGATCAATGCATTGGATACGTCACGTCTGCGGTAGTAACACGCAACTTTGGCTTCAACAGCGCCAGTAGGAGTCTGAAAATTCAAAGCAGTATACCTATCATTAGTAAGGTAATTAAATTATTTTTTAAATATCCGCTGTTCCTTTTGACTTAACAGAAACAAGAAGACACAGAAATCAAGTTTCATATAAATATTATTTTGGTAATATCATGATAAAATCTCACAGTTAGAGGCACATCTGTAGTACCCGAGACAACTAGGTATGACAAAAAATTTAACAATCGATAAAAGGAAATCAATAGACCTGAAAAATAAGACGAGTAACTTGACCATCGAGACTAGTAAGAGTAAAATAACAATCGATAAGCAGCTGTGTATGAAGGAGGTGGGACAGTGACAACATGAATAGAGACAACAAAGAGAAAAAAACACAACAATCAGTTAGTGGAAATGTGTATATGAGTAGAAATGTAGAAAAGACTGAAGTGAATTTGGCCTGTCGGCATAGAGTAGAAAATCAAAAACGTATTCATGAGTACAATCAAGGTCAAGGGGGTTTCATTGTAAGTAGATAACGGAAACAACTAGAAGGTATGAAACGTTAGAACTTAGTCACACTGCAATAAACCTAACCAAAATACATGAGGTAGTACTTGAAGAAAGGGATTCGATCACAAACAACATTATTCGAGAGTTTACAGACTTTGGTGACATACGGTACTCAAAATATGCCCTTCTCCTGACTGGGATCACATGGAGAACGTGAGAGATAAGAATAATCATTATTTATCCCTTGGTTTCCCACTGGAACATAGACATTCAGTAACACGTCACCATTTCACTCTCTCCTCTGAAGTCTTTTACACACAGCTCCACCACTGCAAACAACCTTTCATCTCTTCCTCACACCATCTCCTCCATATCAACCTCACCTCCGACACCAAACTCGTCCTTTCCCCTTTGCGTTCCACTCGATAGCCTGGCACAGTCTAATGCGTGATGTCCCCAAATGGTCTTCTCAATGTATGCACAATCCAATCCAATCCATTCCATCTCCACTTTCTTCTTCTGTATACTCGTCGGACAATAGGTTCTTGCCTCGTTGCTTCGATGCCAGCAAACCAGAATCCCTACTTGCTTATTCTTATTATACTGGCCACATGATCTTCAGTGTCAGCATTGAGTGAGCGTATGTGGTAGCTCTAGATGATGTATGTGTGTAGTTGTTTGTTGGAAATGCTTTTCATAATGTGCCACCAAGTCTGTCAACCATCACATAGAGAGAAGCACTGACTTACTTGGCTGAATTAGTGTTGAAAATCTGGATGTTGTTCACGCTTTATGCTGAGTGGACTGGACTGGACTGGATTGGATTGGATTGGAGTGGAGTGGAGTGCAAGGTGGTGCAGTAGATCTGTACACTGTTTATTTCAGATTAATACAAGAAGGCGTATCTTGCTGTCTTTCCGATGCTGGTTTTGACGTGCTCATCTGTGCCCATACCACTGTATTGCCTGTAGTTGAAACGATGCTGTCTATGTAGGTAGGTAGGTAGGTAGGTAGGTAGGTAGGTAGGTAGGTAGGTAGGTAGGTAGGTAGGTAGGTAGGTAGGTAGGTAGGTAGGTAGGTAGGTAGGTAGGTAGGTAGGTAGGTAGGTAGGTAGGTAGGTAGGTAGGTAGGTAGGTAGGTAGGTAGGTGAAAGAGACTACTTCCTATAGGTTTCTCCCGTTCATCGTGATTAATGCTTATTGTTGTTGTTGTTGTTATTGGTTGGGTATCTTCATCACCTCTGTCTTCTCTACGTTCACCTGAAGTCCCGTCATCGCTACCCTGCCTCAACTCACTCCACCTCAGCTCACCTCCTCTGTCAACTTATTACCTATCACCTGTAGATCTTCGAGTTTGTGCTACAAGACATTAGACATAAACCATCATCGTTGGCGAAATCGAAATCTTCTTCTGGGGTCTTTTCGTCGGTCCAGCCAGTGTATGCCCCTATTCTACCTTCTCACGGTTTGTTGCATGATCCAGTCTAGTCGATCACAATGAGGAAGATGATGGGTGATAGTAGGCTGCAACCTTGTCTTACTCCTGTCTTCACTTCGAATTCATCACTGTGCTTTCCATTGTGAATCACTTGACATGTAGCATTCATCACATAGCGTAGTATGTAGCCGCTGTTGAATGAGGTTGATGACGGTTTGTGTCACTGAAACGGTAGTGTTGAAGCAGCAGCTGCCAAATGGCTTTTCGGTTGACGTTGTTGAAGGTTTTTTCAAAATCGATGAAGTTGAGGTAAGATAGAGAGTTGACCACTTATTAGTATGACTTCCGGAAGTCATCAGTAAAACTAATAATCACTGCTTGATTTATATGAACATCAAATATAGCTGAGTAACACTTTTGAAGAGTACTGCATTTGTGAGTTTCATGGACGGTTTTCGTAGAATTCAAAGAATTAGGTTATATATACTGAAAGATGAGTATATATCTGTTTTATCCGGTACTCTTAAAAGAAAAAAATATAAGGGGCAGTAGTGTTACAGTTTTTCGTAGAATATTCATTTCCTTATGGATGACACTAGTGTAGTGGTCAGATATCTCATTTTATGCGCAGTTTATAAAACAAATAGACTTATAGAAAGCAATTAGATATCAGCAATGCAAAGTATCAACAGTCATTAGATTGAACTGAGTGTAATACAGTATGCGTTCATACGATGAGTAAACAGTTATCTTATAAATCACTTTACAGACTGTCTGAAAAATATTTCCCTGCTTAACATTAAACATAAGCAATAGGAATCTCTATTCACATTTCAACACAATCAAGTAAGAGTATGTACACAGTTCGTACACAGAGTAATTATTAAGTTTTGAGGGTCTCAGCAAAATCGATAAAAAGCCTTAACTTATATTTATGCCTACTGGCAATCATGAGGAAAGCGTATCTAGGACGTAACTACAGAATATCTTAAACTGAGGAACAAAAAGAGACAAAAAGTAACATAAAATCTTGTACAAAAGTGTACTGCTCAACATTATGACATACTGCAAAACAAAAGAGAAGAAAAGTCGGTAAAACAAAAACGATTCAAAAATAAACAAAAAGTATATAAAGTAGGCGGAGAAAAAACAAATAGTCTAACTTTATAAGTGACCATTCAACGATTCATTTACGCGTGAGCAATGTTCAAAGATACTAATGATGAGATATCAATAATCTATTATCCTCCATCTTTGATAACAATGTCACATAAATGTATATTACAACAGGGAGGGTTATTGTACTGGATATCGGCCCTCTATTAGACAGTTAGATATCTCACCAGTATCATACATGAAGCAGTTCGGCAAATGCTAAGTACATTCGTACCGATATTCCATAAATATCTCCCGAGATAAGTGAAGAGTTTCATGAGCTCAACTATTTCAATTTTTATCCATAAATTAGATCTTAACTTAGTTCTTACTTGAGCGTCATCTTGCATTTGACACTTGTAAAGGTGTATACCAATTATTCTTTTGTTATCGAGATACTCAATAGACTCAAAAGTTTGTCAGTGTTTTCGCTTAAGAGAACAATGATGTGCTCAGAATATCTTTTCTACCGGAAGATAAAAACTAAAGAGTCAAAGGTAAGCAAAAAACAGCTCAATCTGTATCGAATTTGATCAGAAGTGCCAAAAGTTGATTTTCTTGTCGGATATAAATGGGCTATAATATGTGAGATTTTAACTCTCCAATGAACTACACCACCATTTGGCTTTGACGATGGAAAGATTAGTAGTATGAAGACGCGTATCTAGTAAGTTCTTCACAATCAGACACTACTCTAAAAGTTCTGCACCAATGATGCAAAACGTCATACCAAGGTTAAGGAATATGGTCATTCTGGAGGACCAGTAAGTGCACCGGTGTCTCAAAACTTGATAAAGGATAGTGATATGAATGACATATTCTAGTTTAAACCTCAAGCCTACATAGTTTCCCAAATTTTGTTGCCCATATCTATTTTGACATCGGATGACTATGCTGTTCAAGCTCACTTTGTTATGCTTATTACAAGAAGATTTCTCGCCTTTCTTATAAACTGGGATAGTCAACGATCTGGATCAATTATTTATCATCATTATTACTAGTCCCTTGGGTTCCTAATGGAACAGGGATTCAGTAGCACGTCTCCATTACACTCTGCTCTCTGAAATCTTTTGAACCTGGCTCCACGACAGCCCACAACCACTCATTTCCTCCTTACACCATCTTCTCCATGTCACCCTCACCTCGGACGCCCGACTCGTCGTTCCCCATCGGGGATTCCACTAGAGGGCTTGACGCGTGATGTCACCAGTCGGCCTTCTCAGTGTGTGCACAATCCATCTCCACTTCCTTCCACTGCATATTTGTTGGGTGAAAGGTTCTTGGTTGGTTCGTTGCCAACCATACTTCCTTGTTGCTTATTATATATGGCCATCCATATGATCTTCAGTAACGAGCGTAAGCAGTTGTTGATGAATGTGTGTAGTTCATTGGAAATCCCTTTCGTAACGCCCCAAGTTTCTGAACCACCACATGGAAGCACTGACTTGACGTTGGTGTTGAAAATCTGGATGTTGTTCCACATGCTGAGTGCAGAAGGTCTCCACACCGGTTTCGGGCTAATGAACACCTGTCTTGCTTTTCCGATTCTCACTTTGACATCCTCGTCTGTGCCTGTGTTGCCTGTAGTTGAAACAGTGCTGCCTAGATAGGTGAAGGAGGTTACTTCTTTTAAGTTTCTCCCGTTGACGGTGACTGGAGTTTGTTGTTCTTGTTGTTGTTGTTGGTGGTGGTGGTGCGGTATCTTCATCACCTCTGTCTTCTCTATATTCACCTGAAGTCCAGTCTTCGCTGCCTCTTCTGTCAACTTGTTAGTTTTCGCCTATAGATCTTCAAGTTTGTGTGACATCAGACACAAGTCATCGGCGAAATCGAGATCTTCTAGGTTCTTTTCCGCAGTCAAGCGTATCCACCTCTTCTCACTCCCAACTGTTTGCTGCATGATCCAGTCGACCACAATCAGGAATATCATGGATGGAAGTAGGCAGCCTTGTCTTACTCCTTCCTGTCTTCACTTCAAAAGCATCACTGAGCTGAGCTTCCCATTGTGAATTACTTGGCTGGCATGTGGCGTCTTCATATGGTTGTTGAATGAGGTTGATAAGGCTTTGTAGTATTCCGTAGTGTTGAAGCAACAGCTGCCAAATTACTTGTCGGTCGACGCTGTCAAAGGCCTTCTCAAAGTCGATAAAGTTGGGGTAGAGGGTTGACTGCCATTCTATACTCTGTTCTATGATGATGCGTAGAGTGGCGTTGCAATTTGGTCCGCATATGATTTGTACTTCCTGAATCCAGCCATCCTGTTCCGGTCGTAGTTTTGAATCCAGTGCATCCTTTAGCCTCTCCAGGATGATGTGGCTTAATATTTTGCCTGCATTCGGTGGACAGGAGTGGAGCATGATTCCGTGCCAGTTCTTGCAAAACACTGAGGTCTCCCTTCTTCGGCAGTTTGACAAGGTAACCCTCCTTCCAATCAATAGACTGGTACCTTCCCTTCCTTCCACACCTTCTGCAATAGTGGTGTGGTGTGAGCATGTCTACTGTTGTATCTGCCTCTGTTTTCAGTGCTTCTGGTGGGATCCCATCTGGTCCTGCTGCTTTCCCACATTTCACTAGCTTTATGGCGTTCAGGACTTCGACTTTTGTTGGAGGATTTATGTTCACTTGTAGTTCTGTGGCTGGGCTGTAGGTGGTATTTGTGGACGAAGTGCAGGTGGTGGTGGTTGATTCTAGAGCTTCTTGAAGTGGTCGGCCCATTGTTTCTTTTGTTTCTCTTCTTTCGTAGTTAAATTTCCGTCATCATCTTTTATTGGTTTCATCTGCGTTGATCTCTTCCCAGATGGTGACCTGGTTATTTGATACAATGTTGTCAGGTCTCTCCTACCAGCCTGCAGTCTGCAGCCTGTTCTGCTTCACTTGTCAGTGTTTCGTAGAAGTGTCTTTACCTAGATCAATGAAACAGGATTATTCTTAATTCTTATATCCCTACTACATTTGATTTGATTAGTGTTACAGAAGCTTCATTGGGAAAATCAACCACACAAAAAAAACTGTTAGGCATTGTTGCTTAGAGCCACTTTAGATCTCCTATAGCTATTTCAACTTCCATGAGTGCTAGTTCCACTTGTCTACTCAAGTTGAGACAGGATGGTAGACAGGTGAGGTGAAGCTGTAGGTTAAACGAACTACTACTTTTTAGTGTTTTGCTCATAATCACAAGTACCTGTCTATGTAACTCAGTGACAGCCACTGCTATTCGTTTTAGTTGTGAAAACAGATAGAACAAATATTTTGTGCTTACCTTGTTCAGTTCATCTATTCGACGGATTTGATATGGGGCAGTCGCTGATGATTCAAAATAGACGAAATCTACAAAGGAAAAGTAGTCAATATTTATTTGTAGTCAAAGAGGGGAAACAGACGTATAATAACATTTGCCTTAAATATTTACTGAATGTTTCTTAGATTATTCTGACAGGATATAACCTTCTTTGTTAAAATAAATCATCTTTTACATAGTCGATCTACTGTAGTCGTCTTCAAATGAAACGTTCAGTTGTCATCAATTTCACAAAGAGAAAAGTAATCAACAAAGATTAATGTTTTGGTCATTCCTCAATGGTTAGATAAAAAAATCGAATAAAATTATTAGGCATCAATCTTAAACAAAAAGTAGTATTTTTTATTTAACTTAACTGAACGGTGAAATTTAGGCTGGTTTTACGGTAAGAGGAACAGTACAACACACTTGCGAAAAATCTTAATTAGGTAGGACTCAGTATACTACAGATCTATCAAATGTACACGATGACCTTCGTTAGGTTTTTTTATAGACTTTACTATTGGTTAAGAGTACGCGTTTATTGAACACTGGCGTTCGTAGAGCTACAACCAGAAGGACAAAGTTGGTCATTAACTTAACAATACTAAACACTTTACTCCATTGGTAGGATATCATTTTGTGTACAAACCCACTTTTTATGTCACTGATAGACGTGAAAAGTGATATGATTGGATTTATTTAACCTAAAATCAAATTATGTGCAGTCCACCCTAAAAATTATTTTGTGTTTCTATTTAGCTCATGATAAAGGGAATTTTATACCACAGGATATATAAAGTTAGTGTAAGTTACAAGTATATGTGGTATACTTTATACTATGCATCAATCGAAATGAACAACCAACTTGACAATTATCTAAGTATGATTGCAAGAGAATCAATATATACATGTGAAAGTTCTTTCATGAACAATCTGTTTTTTGTTTTCTGTAAAAAAGATGGTGGAACTTATTTGTGAAGTCAATCGATCAGATAGTTTTTATTACCAGTCAAGAAGAGTGGAATTGACTCAATGACATAACAATGAGTAAACCATATAAAATTTTCAGTACAGTCAAGGTTAAACGATTGACTCTTATTATATTGAAAACTTTGATAGTTGAGTGAGAAAAAGTGTGCAAAAATTAGATTAAAAAAGTAAAAGCGAACTACTACAAAGAATTATTGAAACTTAAATTATGGGGACAATAAATAAGTAAAGGGGTATAGGGATCTCAATTTTTTCCACCATTGACAAAGCTTTCCATTTATACAGTGATAACGATGATCTAAAAGATAACATTGAAATATCCATCATAAGGGTTAACTTTATTTCCTACTAAATATTTTCTGAATGATAACCCGAAATGTATGGATAGGAATGTTTTGGTCACAACTTATAATATAACTATCAAGCCAAGTGATTTTATATCGTTGTATACTATTTCTTATTGAATGATGACAGTTAACCACGCAGCAACAACATTAGACCTGACATTGCTGCTTAACGGTTGAAGTTGTCATACTTAACACCAGTAAACAAAGTAGTAAAACACAGATGCTAGATCAGGAAATAAGGGATGAAGTAATCAATAATTATAAGGTTCACAAAATGAGGAGTAAAACAATGATGAAATTCGGCATGAAGATAGTGTGTAGATGTATCTGCACTGGTGATACCGATTCTATGCCATATTACACACAGGTTCTAACCACCGATTCTGGTTATCACACGGACTCCAGCCGAGAAGTCTACATTTCCCTACGCTAATCAGTCTGAGAATTCATGCTCTGATGGCATAGTTTATTCTAACCACCTCTTACTTTTTTCCAGATTGAATCTACTTCAGTTAAGATTGTGCGACGGGGCAGATGGTGACTATACATGCATAACACGTTGAAGACGTCTAAGTCGATGAAGGTTCACCATTTCACTGACTGACTTCCCTCCAGCCTATGCTACGAAGACAGCGGTGGTTGAACACTTGAAATCTTATCATATGCTCTACCTTCAGTGCAGTACACTCTGCACTTAATAGGTAATCGGATATCATGGTGGCATGAGTTGGCCAAAACCAAGCGAACTTTGTGTGTCTGTGCAGAAACTTCATCGGTCACTGACACATCAAGGATGATCCGACTTCCCGAAACGGACAACACGTTCAACGATTTTACTTTTTATTAAAAACCAGTCATGGAGCAACAATTTGGATTTCGGTGGGGAAAAACGCACCCCACATATTCGAAGGTTGCCACTCAATGTCTCAAGAAGGTTTCATATGGTTAGCATCTTCACGTACGTACTTTAGGTCTACTAAAGTCTTTCATGACCAGGTCAATTCCTGTAAGGTCAGATGAGAGGAAAATATCCATGAGCATATACATAACAGGATTAAATGAAAATGGGAAGAGCAGGTGACCTCAACAGATATCACTTGATGTACACAAGTCATCCGGCATCCCAAGTAAAGGCTTTACCACGCTCATAGGTTTTAGAATTCAGCACCTCCAAAGAGGTACCCCCTTCAGTGAGTCACTCCCATAACGTCTCTAGATCGACCGATTTAAATACCGTCTTCTGGTTGGGAAATACAGATAGTGTATCTATGTTCCAGAACTTGGGGGAAGGAGAATGTATGATTGATACAACCACCACTGGATCTGAAACCTACTAGGTTTTCTCGGGTTTATTGTTACGGAACTTCACCTGCACGTCCGATAATTATAGAACCTAGAATTTTAGATACTACATTTATCAGATTGATTCTCATGTAGTTAACACAAGAGGATTTCTCCCCTTTCTTGAACACTAAGATAATCAGTGACTGACACCAGTACGATGGGATCATATCTGACTTGCGTACACTAGTTAACAGTTTCGTTAACCTGACCAGTAACCCCCGACAGCTGTTCTTAAATACCTCTGGTAATAGCCAATATGGCTCCGCTGACCATCATTGTTTCAGGATACTTATAGACCTCTAAACTTTTGCAAAAGTTGGAGGATTTGTTTCCACGATTCGTTTAGGATTCGACAGGATAGTGAGCAACAGAATAGTAGCTATATGTCAGTTTTTTTATACACTCGATCCATCGTTCCAGTCACCCCCTCTGCAAGGGAATCACAGAGCCATTATTTTTCGCTATAATTTCACCAACGATTAATCTTCTTACCCTAGTTTACTTTACAGGTCTAAGTAGCTGTCTAATGTTACCCTATCGCCGATATTTCTTCCCGTTTCCTTAGCCTTTGCTGATCACAGGTAATGCGTATAATCTTTGTCAGGACATATTTGAGCTACCTCCGCTCTTCATTTTTCTCAGAGTTTGCAGGAATGTACTCGATTACATTCACTAACTAAGGCGACGAGTAGATACAACAAGCTGAAAGTGCTTCAGTCAGATGGTTCCCTCACCGTTAACAAACGAATACCAGACAGCTAGACAAAATCAAACTAAAAACTCGCGAACAAGTGCATCGGGTCAAGTCGCCACACTTCACAGTAATACACAAAAAACACATAGATAGAAAAAGAGTGATGTCAAAAGGAACAACATTATGTGAGAAAATAAACAGTTTGGAGATAACGGGGCAGTGAAAAAAGAAAATAAGATCTTACAATTAGATGTGGTGTGTTTTATGTCACTTTATGACTGGATAGCCAGTAGATTTACCATGGACTATCAAGTTAAAAGCGAGTTTTAAGAGTAGTCTTTCACAGCTCTTTTAAGCGGACTTGTTATTAATTGTTCATGTTGACCGACCAGTACCATGAAGCTGTGTCGTCATACGTGGAGTGAAAATGAACACTTCTGGATAGGAGTTTTCTCACGAGAAAACATGTGATTCGAAACTTTCTGAGTCATAAATTAAGAACCAGTGGAGACCAACGTACAGTAAAACTACCTAGACGGTTCTATCGATTGTAAATTAATGTCTGCTATGCTTGGCATGGGTATAGTTCATAAATTAGCAAACCGCTTACACACTAACGGACTGAGAATAGTCAAAAGAACTACGGTGACTTTTAACATCGTGAGAGAATAAAAGTGCTTTGCTCACGTTGCTTCAAAAAAGATTTAATCAAGGAAATACAACCTGGAACAAATCGACTCGGTTTAGGCTGATACACTATAAATCAAAAGGAAGAGACGTGAGTTGAGAGAGAACAGTTATGGATGAACATGAGCCATTGTACTTGATTTTGAGTATGCCAACGAGCTTCCAAGTATTGATTTCTACCATCTTGAGAACCTCCTACTATCGAATGAGACTAAGAGTCAGTGACTCCATTGCAATTATGTTTTTCGATCTGTTCAACTCCCACTTTTCCAAGCTAATCCTACCAGAAATAATCATACTTTGAATCCCTGTAAGACCTTCATGGTTTGTACATACAACAGACAGTGAGCCATCAATCAGTCAAAAGTGGTAGCTCCTTAAGGTCTTTCTATGCCTGGGAGGGTTTCTGGATAATGGAAGGGTAGAAAGCACTTACCATCATAGTGTGAGTAGCTACAATATGGTGAATATCCGACAGCCAAGCTGTACATCTGATTAGACGAATTGTGACAGTGGTAAGGTGTTTCTCACGGATGACCAACATTTTACACTGATGTCACTTTCCCTATCTGAAATAGGTTAAAAAGGTTAGCCTCCTAAAGTATTCCACTCTCACGTCGATCGAAATGCACTCAGCAACCTTGTGCACATTCGCGCAGTAGACATAGCCATACCAATTGTGTGAGGGCTAATGATACTGCTACATGGCTGTCCAAACCTCGGTAGGTGGAGTCGTGGTCAGACTCATGACCCATTGGTTGAAAGTTATCTCCTAAACCAATGAGCTACTACACGCAAACTTCCAATAGCATGTAAAACACAACTGTAACCTGCCTTCATTGTCTCTGTCCACTCTCCTGTCTTCACTTTCTGATGCCAACACCAAGCCCATTACAGATTCCTTAACTTCACGCTTTGCAATCGCTGCAAACAACCTTAGCCAGCAAAACGCTTTTCATAGCTTCCCAAAAAAGCACCACTAATT